GCAATAAACAAAGGTAAACTAAGGTAAGCTCCATCTGTTCCATCTATGGAGTCTGGTCATCATCATTAGCAGCTGCTCCACCATCATTAACTCCATCAGCATCAGTAGCTCCGCTCCCCCAAACTTAGGAGCCTGGTCCCCAGGCCAACCAGTATATGCCTGAAAGTCCTGGTAACCAGAAGTGGTTGCAGAGTGTAATCATGAAAGAACATGGTGAGCACAAAAATTATACACAGTGATGACCAAGCAAATATAGCAAAATGGAGAATATCCTTAGACCAAAATTAAGCACAACATGCATGCACACGAAAATGGACTATAACAATGCAACATAAAGCACACAAACATACAACACACAACAGAACATAAAGAAACATGATTGAAAATAGATAAATATTGGGTGTCAGGGATGTGGTGCGCCGGGCGCAACACAGATGCGCCGGGCTTCATATCAGTAAAAATCAACGAGGTTTCAAAATTTGATATCGCGCCGGGCGTGAGTTAAGCGCGCCCGGCGTAGTGGTTCCAGAGACCAAAAATTGAATACGAGGCCGGGCGCAGAAGAGTTATGCCTGGTGTGTAGCCACTTACATGGTCAATTTGCCTAAAAAGTTTTCTTTAAGATAAGGCCTTATTTCCACCTCGACACAGAATTGCCTCATTCCTCACATTCCAAACAAGATGTACCCTATATTTACCCACTCAAGCATCATTCTAACAATCAACATATAACACAAAATAACCTATACCACAAAACAACATATAGCACACAACAATTATGCATAACAAACATTAACACTGAAATCTACAACAAGAATGAAATGACAAACACACAAACAAAGTTCAGATCTCTGGGTTGCCTCCCAGGAAGCGCTTGTTTACTGTCCCGAGCCTGACAGTGACCAACTTGAATTGCTCTAATTCTCCTTCTCCTCCCGTTGCTATTGTTCCTCCTTGCCTTGTGCTCAATCTCAGGATTGCTCAACAACTGCTCAGAGGGATTGGTCAATCTAGTTCACAGTACCTTGCATACAAGAGAAAGCGGAGGACTAGAGTACACAGGTTAGCTCCAACAATTCATTGCTAACATAAAAATAAAAATAACAACAAAAGAATAAGTCACAAATAGCTATAAATACTAAATTGCCTTGCTAATCCCCGGCAACGGCGCCAAAAACTTGTTGAGATTTTCGTTGAAGTACTTTTGTTATAATTGTAAATCAGTTTAATTCTATCAACGGTCTCAAACACGACAAGTATACCGGCCGTTCAAGTATTAAAATTATCGTATCCACAGGGATTAGAAGGTAACATAAGCATTTATTGACTATTCGTGACTAAAGAATGATTCCAATTTCATAGTTTGTCATGTGCATTCAAGGTTATGACTATTGGAATGAAAGCTATAAAAATATTTGTTTGTGAGTGGATAAGGGTATAAATGGTATTATGGTTTGTGTGAGATTGTGGGGTCAGATTTCACCAAACGTCAGACTAATGAATCCTTAATCTCTTGTTACATACATTGCTTAGTTAACCCATAAGTTTACTCAAACCTAATCCCTTAGAGAAAGAGCCTAGGTGCGGATATTGAATATCAATCCCTTGAGTACCCAATACCTACACCCGCATTACGGGTTGAGTACCCAATACCTACACCCACATTACAGATTAGGGTTTAAGACTACTAATGGGTCAAACTCTATCCTTAGATACAATCCCCACTAGGCATATGTTTCAGAACTAGTTTCAATGATATTTCCCAATACTCAATAGAACCTTAAATCATGCAAAGGGTGATCAATCCAAAGCAAGCATTAAGCATAGAAACGTACACAACAAAGAATGGAACATGTATATATATCATTAAAAACGTAAGGATTACAATAGAGTACGTTGGTTACATCTAACCCTACAAAAATGGGTAGAACCACTCAAATAATGAGGGTAAATACAAAATAGAGATGAAGGGAGAATGAGAAGAGCCGAAGGAAAGACTCACACACGAACGGCGCCAAGCTCCGGGAATCCCTTCCACAGCTCCTAAAACGCGCTCAATGTGTGAATGAGGGAGAAACCCTCGAAAATGGCTTCAAATACGAGCTTGGGGAGATCAGATTAGGATTTCGCGTCCGACGCGTAATTCTTCGCGTCCGGCGCAGGGTCTTCCAAATACTCTCTGCCTTAGGACACGCCCGACACAATTCATTTTACGCCCGGCGCAGATGTGGCTTTGCAGAGGTGAGACTCTGTTTTGATCATGCCCGGCGCGGGTCATGTGGCGCCCGGCGCATTCACTCTTCTCTGCTCCTTAGCTTCTTAGATTTCCAATCCAAGGGATCTTCAACTTTCCACTCTTCACTCAATACCTGCACAAAAAATGAGGTGGATTAAGGTATTATTAGATGAATTTGGGTTAGTTATATCTGCACACAAAATGAACCAAAAAGAGAACAATTATATTGCAATGGTTCAGAGGATGAGTGGAATTTTTCAATAAGTCTCATCCAAAAAGAAGTAAAATTGAGACTTAACAGATACTATTTGGTGAAATGCATTTAATGCTCGCATTAAATGTGCCAAACAATTACCTGCCATCACAAGGAAGATGATAAAGATAAATGAAGTAAACTTGTGAGTTAGACTTAAAGTATTGCAACAATCATCTTCTCCAAAGGGTTCTCTACAATTTTCAATTAGTAATTTAGATCGAGATGACCATGAGATCATCATGATTTGGATCCATTCCTAGAAAATCATTATCAGTGAAAGCGATAAGATGTAATGTTTTATGTGACTTACCATGCATGATAGTGACATTATTGACGATTTTGAGATGTCTCTTGTGTGAAGAGGTCGTTTGGTTCTGGCAAGGCCACCAACAATAGTGTGCATGAAGGTTTTGTTGACATTCTCATTATTTAGTGGTGGGTTGGTCATTTTCCAAAGGGAATTTTGGGAGTGTTAGTGCCACTAGCGTTGCTTGTTTTCCTTCTCATGGTTATACGATGGTATTTCGATGTTGTTCAATGCCATGGACAAAGTTGTAGCAATCAATAGTTATTGTTTTGTGATTGAGTTGGGGTTTCTTATTGTTGTGAGGATCCTTGGTGTGTTGTTTTCCATAATGTGATCCTGCCGCGGGAGGTTGTGTGTATGGTTAAAAGATTGTTTCACTTTGGTCCCATGGTAAGCATCAAATGTTTTTATCAAAATTTGTAAGTGGTCAAACAATACGGAAGACATCCTAGTTGCTATAATATCCATGACGATGGGAGACAGCTGTAAAGACACTTTAATGCTCAAGTTAGAAAAAATCTAGGTTAAAAATGAGATTATGATAGAATGATACCTAATGCCCAATATATAAATGATTGATCTTATCTTTTAAGCTTAGATGTAATGTTACATGATTTTTTTGAAGATATTCTTGTTGATAAATAGATATATTATTCTTGATAATGTGATATCTAATTTTGGAAGATATGACATGTGGAAATATCATCCTTGATAAATGAAGTACTATTTTCTATCAATTTAAGACATGTTTTGTCAATGACTTATTTGGCAACATCAACATTGGATTAATGGGCCTGGTTTGAACTAATTTACACTCTACTCGGTTCATATGTTTATGTAATTGATCTGAATGAATTGGACAGTACAATATGTAATATAATATTTTATAATCATATTTTTATATAAAAACATTTACTATTTTTTTATGATTAATTTTTATAAAAAATCTGGTCTTATTTTAATAGGTGTACCCTCCAAAACATTCATTTAACAAGCAAAACATTAACTTTATTCTCTAAAAAAGAAAGAGGAACTTATTCCTTAAATAAATTCGTTTTTTTAAGAAAAAAAGGTAAAGGAGGTGGCACACACATGACACGTGAGAGGTCGGTTGTAACATGGGACGCCATAAAGCGTGGCTCCATCAACGCCGTTGTTTCTCATGAGCGCGGCAACATACGAACCGTTGATTTTCACACTCTTCATTGACCTTCATTGCGTGTCTTACTATTTTTCCTTACTTTTGACTCCCACGTGTCACCATAAATACATGCCCATGTCTCTGTTCCTGTTCCATGATGCCAACCTCACATCTTACCTGTCCCATTCATCTTAGAATCCTAAGGATAACGTCACCTTTTATTTTCATTAACCGTTAAGAACTCAAATTGTTACAAAATTTTAATTTTAACGCATACATTCTTAGTTACATCACAGAAATAATTATGTTTCGTGACACATTTTTATTCTAACAAAATTCAAGTACATTTACTTGTGATTGGTGATATTTTTAATAAAAATAAATATTTATTTTAATAATATACTCTAACATTTAATATAGATCTTATTAAAATACATTTACATTTATAAATATTTTTAAATAATTATTTTGATCTTTTTTTATTTTTATTGTTCATTCGTTATATAATAATTTTTTATGAATAAAAGATAAATATATATATATATATATATTATATAATATAATCATTTATATAATTAATAAAGACACGAAATGATTTAATCTCTCTAATATATATTATAAAATAAATCTTTAATTTTGATTACAAAACATCATAAAAACACACAATCTTTTTTATGCTTTAAACTAATATGAATTCATGAGAACTTTAGTTGAGCGAAATCCGCAATGTTTTTTTTTGGTTTAAAAGAGTAGTTTCGCATTCGCATAATGTGACAACGGCACGCTGAATTTACGAGGTTAAGCAACCGCGTGCTAGATTCCAATAAAAAGATGCCACGTGGTCCATGGAGTGTGTATGTGGCGTATAAATAAGCATGCACCACCGCACTCGTTTCTCTCACAAGTTACAACTCATTAATTAGCAGTTAAAGCTTGGTAGTAGCACATTCGAATTCGAATTTCTGTTCCCGTTGCATTTTGCAAAAGTTGTTACATTTTCATAAAAGAAGTTTCTAAGTTAAGGAAATCCAGAGAGAAAAAATGGCCGGTGACGGAGCAGCTACATGCATAGACATCCTCCTTGCCATCATCCTGCCTCCTCTTGGAGTCTTTCTCAAATATGGCTGTCAGGTATTAAATTAATTCTACAATTTTTTTTTCTTTTCAGTAAGATTTTACACCAAATTTTGGATATTACTTTTTTATTGCATGTTATTGTTAATGATTTGTAGAGTGTGTGTGACTAATAGAACACATGGTTGATGGTTTGCTTGATGCAGGTGGAGTTCTGGATTTGTTTGGTGCTGACCCTTTTTGGTTATATACCTGGAATTATCTATGCTGTCTATGCTATCACCAAGTGATCACCTTTTAGCCTTTGTAAGTGACCCTTTTATATGGAAGAGGCTAATTTATCTTATTTTTCTTGTAAAATTAGTATTTACTTTTGAGGAATTTAGGTTTGAAATAGTTTGGCCTCTGGAATTGTTTGAGGGCCTGTCATATAATGTTTGTAGCTAGTTTCAAGGCTTCACGCGGCATAATCTCTTGTAATTGAGTAGTCTATAACCTGTTCTACTGTAGCCACACTAAGATGAAATCCACAGATTTTTCTTTGTGAAAAATCACTATATCTTCATTCGGAAGGACAAGACAATAGTTTTGATAGGAGAAGGGCACGTTGTTCAACCTCACACTTATTTGATGCTAATTTCTTTGCTAACAATTGTAATTAAGGAATTTTGGCTTGGTTTTGATTAGCTTTACTTTGTTGGTGGTCCTTCTAATTTCACTGATGAAATGATGCTTTTTCTGGCAGGTGAACAAAAAACAAATATCGTGGACGTTTCTGTCTTTCAACTCTGATATTAGTGTTTCTTTAATATCATTGTCACTGTTGTCATTTTTATAACGTTCTGTTTTTTAAAATCCCTTTGTTTTTAGCTTAAGCAAGAGTGGAGTGTATGTAGTTTGTACTCTCTAGATTTGGTAATCGATTTGAAGTTCTTGTATCTTATGTAAATTGTGCTTGCTATTCATTAGTTTCAAATTAATGAATTAAATTTATTCTTATGATATTCTGTTTTGATTTGTGAGAACGCATGTGACTTTTTGTTAAGCAGTTAAAGGTGTGCTGTCGATGTCATTCATCTGTTCAAAATGGGGACAGGGTTCTTGTATTATTGAGCACAAATTCAATCTAATCTTTTGTTTATGATAAAGATAATGAGATCGCCAAATAATATTGTCCAATGATATTCCTAAAGAATCTGATTCAATATCAGTATATCCTTGATAAACAAGGACATTACCAATGTTAACATTTAAATTTCATTTACTAAAATTAGTTTATATTTTAGTAGCATGAAAACGATGATAAATTTGGAGGGGATCCTTTGAGAAGTTGAATAGTAAGAAAGAAACTAGTAAAGGAATTTCACCGAGGCTTTCCTTCTTTTATACCCTTGCTCTGGTATCTATATAATTATTATTTTTCAGCCAATAAAAGAAACATGTTTATTTGCACCTTACTCTTTGAAGCCCCACCATGGTTTAGCCTCTGCTATGATAACAGAGCTGTTACCCCAGTGATACCGATTTTGTCACCAACCAGCAAAGCCACCAACAAGGCGAGCCATGAAACAATCCTCCATTGTGCAACAATCACCACAAGTCAAATTTTGTTATTTAGTTTAGGTGCTGAAAAACGAGTTTTTTTCTTTTAATTATTAAACAAATATAGTTACTTTCGTTTTCGTATAAGATGCTTCTATTTCTTTATCTTGCCAAATTTTGCAAGTTATAAACAATGGCGATGTGACAAATTTTAGTAATACAATTCTATCTATAATATGGATACGACCACCATTTGGGTGTGATCCGTATCACATTATCATAGGAAAAATAATTTCTTGATGTGACAAACATAACAGATTTAGAGGCCTAATTGGATAAAGTGGATAATTTAAAGACAGATTATAATTTAAGCCAACTACATAAATCAAACTTGGCGACGAGACACTTACGACATGGAGGTTGTGAAATCATGCAATAGCGATGTGTATCAAACTAAAATTTCCATAATCTAGTGACAACAGGCCATGAAAACTTGGAAAAAGTAAAGTTCAGGAAATCTGACACATTAATGATGTTAACTCACCATCATATTTGCATTGGAAATTCAAAAATGAAACCTTAATTACGTAAAATTTATAAAGGCTCAATTTCCATCATGCGTCATGTGATACTACGGACGCATACTGTCTATGCTTAGAAATCCAGCAGCATATACAACCGGATCAGATTAGAAAACAAGGAAAAAAAGGACATTATCATTCATCATTGGCGGCAAAAATAAACTTGCACTTAAAAAACGTTGGTTTAGATCTCCTTGCAGTAAAGATATACATTTGCTAAAGGAAGCAATACAACTTGTGCGCATGGAAAAGACGAAGAAGAAAGGTCTTCAAATTAAGCATACCAATTTACATTGCCCTTTGTGATCACACTTCAAAAAAATAAAACCTATGCTCTTATCCTTTAAACTGCCACTCCCGACGGCACATGGGACAATGCGCTTGTGATGTCTGAGAATTCACCCATTTCAGGATACAGTGCAAATGAAATGCGTGATTGCATACACCCCAAACTGTGAAAAAATAGGTTTAAACTAATTACTGATATAAATATTCACAGAATATTGCAATTTGATCAATTAAGTCAGTTAGACATTTCTTCCATGCAACTCTGTTAGTTAGAAAAAGATATGATCGTTATCCATATATTAATGCATTTCTTAATAGAATTATGTCAATATGGCTTTATTGTCCACAGTAGAATTATATCATCTTAATCCCTGTTCTTCGATAATTCCTTCAAACTCCTTGAGTATGCATAAAACTACTTAAACTGTCACTATGGATGTCAGCGACAATAGCATCTTTGCAGCAGTTCAACACATTCAAATCAGGGGAGCTAGAGAACTTTAAACTTAAGTATCAGTATATAAGTGGAACTACAAATGATGTTTGTAGAAATCCTAATGTATCTGTAGTCAAGAAAATTGGAAAATCCTAACATGATAACATTGCAATCTCAATCATCCTACCTAACAAGTAACCAGTGGACAGAGTTATTTGCTGTAGCTGCCCTACATGTATAGACCCCAAAAAGTAATAAGAGGGACTGTTTTAGAAACCTACAAACTTGTAACTTGTAAGCAAAGCTTGAAATCTTCATCCACAACATGTTGATTGTTAGTTGGATAAAATCCACGTTGTGGTAGGTGTACTAAACAAACTACTATAAATCTGTTCTGAGGCTACCTTAAGACCCCACATTACAATCACCGTCCACACAAATTCATTTACTTAATATAGGCTAATATGTGAACAATGAAATCAAGCATTTACATGTTTGATTAGATTAATCAAGGAATATAACCAAGACAATTTGGTGCAAAATATATTAACGATGAAAGTGGCCAAGTACAATATTATCATCAGTAGCTTACTCAGTGGGCAGTCATCCCCAGGAAGTTTACAGTCAGGACAACACCCATCAAAGGCCATCCTACAAATCCCACATGTTTCATCCTGAGCATCCCAAGTCCACGAAGCAACGGCATGCCATCTATATTTGACAAAAGAGAACAAGGAAATTCAGAATGTGCTTGTTTTCGTTTGCAAACCAAGTGAATAGACAGAAAACTAGAGAAGCTGAAAATTTGGAAAAAAAATTATGTTAAATTTGCTTGGTATAACATAAATTTGGAGCAATTGAAATTTGAAAGTGCAGTGCAACCCAATTTCACACCACTAATACAAGTTTTGTCTCTCCTTACGTAGCCTAAATGTAGACAGAAAATTATTTTCCACCTACTTTTGTCCACTCCACCTATGACCTAACAAGTATTGCCAGCTAAAATACAAAACCTTTCCACCTCAATTCTTTTTCACTAACTTCCCTAATTCTCCACCTTTTTACTACAAAGCAATTGAAATTTGAAAATGCAACATATCCTCACTGCCACAGCACGAAAGTAAGCTAAAAACAAGTTTCCACACTCAACCCAATCAAGCCATTTCCATGTGACTTCATCTTCTCTTCCCTCCTTATTTTCTATCTTCACTAACAAGCACAACCCTCATTACTCATCCAGAAAGTTTCAGTCAAGGAATTACTTGAAAGACAGTAAGCACAACAAGTTCATCATTACATAAAAGTTATGTTGAAGAGAGAGAGAGCATACTCTTTTTAGAAGTACAGCAGATACCCAGGTAGAGAGACCTTTGTCAAGAAAAAACATTTTTTTTTGTTTTCCACAAATACCCAATTCTCGATATATTATGGACAAGAATTAGGCTGAAAGTAAAAGCGCAGAAATTTGAAAAATACAACAGCGGTAAGCAAAGACAAAAACATGTAAGATGGAAGAATAGTGAAAGAAAGGGTTAAAAGATAAACGAAGAAGAATGGGGGTTTGAGAAGGATACGCAAGATGTTGACTTTCATATTCGTTCCCACCAACAGCAAATAGAAGATGAGGGGTAGGGTTTGTGCGAATGCGGATTGGAGACCAAAATTTGAAATGGGAGAGAGGGATGCGCCTTCAATCAACGCTGGTTGCATAAAGTTGGATGGCTTCATTTTGACGGTCTCTGTATAATTATATAATTAATAAAATAAAGAGGATGAATTTTTTTACTGTACGAGTAAATTTCCTTATTATTATTCTGTTTAATAACTCATATTTTACATTAAATTTTAATAATTTAATTGTTCAATTTAAAGTTCTTAATACATAGATCAAATCTGCAAATTTGCATATTTGATCTATATATTAAGAACTTTAAATTGAACGGTTGGATCGTTAAAATTTAATGTAGAATATGTGTTATTGAATAGAATAAGTTTACCCAGACTTACTTCTGGAATAAAAAGATTTCTCCTCTAAATTAAAAGGGTAAATCACCTTTTATAATTTCCCATGAAAGTATTATTAACTATTAAGTGTGTTAGAAAAATTTAGGTCGACTTGTCGTATAATATTTTATTCGTAAATTTTTTTATTTAATTTATAATTTTATGATTTTATTTTTTATTTTGTAAAATTTATAATTTTAATTTAATTATTGAATATTTATTTGTTAAGTATTAAAAATTATAACATTTATTATAATTTAATATTAAGCCTAAATGTAGACAGAAAATTATTTTCCACCTACTTTTGTCCACTCCACCTATGACCTAACAAGTATTGCCAGCTAAAATACAAAACCTTTCCACCTCAATTCTTTTTCACTAACTTCCCTAATTCTCCACCTTTTTACTACAAAGCAATTGAAATTTGAAAATGCAACATATCCTCACTGCCACAGCACGAAAGTAAGCTAAAAACAAGTTTCCACACTCAACCCAATCAAGCCATTTCCATGTGACTTCATCTTCTCTTCCCTCCTTATTTTCTATCTTCACTAACAAGCACAACCCTCATTACTCATCCAGAAAGTTTCAGTCAAGGAATTACTTGAAAGACAGTAAGCACAACAAGTTCATCATTACATAAAAGTTATGTTGAAGAGAGAGAGAGCATACTCTTTTTAGAAGTACAGCAGATACCCAGGTAGAGAGACCTTTGTCAAGAAAAAACATTTTTTTTTGTTTTCCACAAATACCCAATTCTCGATATATTATGGACAAGAATTAGGCTGAAAGTAAAAGCGCAGAAATTTGAAAAATACAACAGCGGTAAGCAAAGACAAAAACATGTAAGATGGAAGAATAGTGAAAGAAAGGGTTAAAAGATAAACGAAGAAGAATGGGGGTTTGAGAAGGATACGCAAGATGTTGACTTTCATATTCGTTCCCACCAACAGCAAATAGAAGATGAGGGGTAGGGTTTGTGCGAATGCGGATTGGAGACCAAAATTTGAAATGGGAGAGAGGGATGCGCCTTCAATCAACGCTGGTTGCATAAAGTTGGATGGCTTCATTTTGACGGTCTCTGTATAATTATATAATTAATAAAATAAAGAGGATGAATTTTTTTACTGTACGAGTAAATTTCCTTATTATTATTCTGTTTAATAACTCATATTTTACATTAAATTTTAATAATTTAATTGTTCAATTTAAAGTTCTTAATACATAGATCAAATCTGCAAATTTGCATATTTGATCTATATATTAAGAACTTTAAATTGAACGGTTGGATCGTTAAAATTTAATGTAGAATATGTGTTATTGAATAGAATAAGTTTACCCAGACTTACTTCTGGAATAAAAAGATTTCTCCTCTAAATTAAAAGGGTAAATCACCTTTTATAATTTCCCATGAAAGTATTATTAACTATTAAGTGTGTTAGAAAAATTTAGGTCGACTTGTCGTATAATATTTTATTCGTAAATTTTTTTATTTAATTTATAATTTTATGATTTTATTTTTTATTTTGTAAAATTTATAATTTTAATTTAATTATTGAATATTTATTTGTTAAGTATTAAAAATTATAACATTTATTATAATTTAATATTAAATAAATGATGTGATGATTAATATTTAATATCAAATTCCATGTTTTGTTCTTATAAAAGTGATAAAGAATGTGTAAATAAGATAAGAATAAGATCCAAAAGTTTATTTAACTTAAAATCAATAAACATTAATTTTTTCATCATTTACTTAATATCATTTTTTAACCAATTTATTCAATATTATATATCATTTGTTTAATGTCATGATAAATTTTTTTATAATTTTAAATATTAATAAATAAATATTTAATTATTGGATTATAATTATGAATATTTTCTAATTAAATGACTAAAATCATAAAATTAAAATTAAAAATCAAAATCTCATTAAATATTTTAGAAGATTAAATGTATAATCTCACATTAAATATAACACAAATATAAAATAGTGAAGATATAAGATTAACATAGTTCGATGTTAGGAGATTATGGCAAACATATCACTCGCACAACTAATTAGTAATAAGTAAATATCATCCCTTAAAAGACTTGTGTAATACACGACATATACATTAATAACTAATTTCGACAAAAAAATATTTCGTTAATTGATGTTGTTTGCAAAAGAAATAAAAATTGTGCAAGAGAGAGATAAAGTTCTTTTTAGTATTTTGTTAAATAGTTAAAAGGTGGTTTAGATTAGAAATAATGATATGATATGTTAATGTTGGGATTAGACTTCATCGAATCCCACTCTGATGCATTTTAATCACTCAAATCTTCTTTTACATTTAATATTAATGTTAATTTATTAGTTTACTTAAACCGTAATTTCTTAGAAGAAAGAGTCTGTATGTTTCCTTATTAAGCATTAATCACTTTAATACTTAATAAAAAAACATAAATTAATAAAGAGTTTAAGATAACTAATAGGTCAAGTTATATTCCTACACTAGTAGAAAATTAATCTTTTACGTCACCTCTTTATCGTCGGACATATAAAAACTGACGTAAAAAAGATGCGGTGACATTTTTGTAATTTTTTTGAACTCTTTTACGTCGGACTTGGTAAGGTTCGACGTAAAATTTAAAATCTACGTCGGATGTATCCTGTGTCCGATCACGTCAAACCCTACTAAGTCCGACATAAAAAAGGTTGAATGCATATATGCTTACCACTCCAAACCTGGATGACTTCATTTCTTGTGCCCTATTCACTCTCTTCCTTCTCATTCTTTCAAAGACAACTCTTGCTTGAAAAGTTGAGTCCTCAGAAAACACAACTCCCTTTCAAGCTTTAACCGACCCAAACCCGAATCAAATCCAGATGCCTCACCAGAAAGTTCTCCTTTCATTTATCCGATCATTCGACTAAGGCATTCAATTCTATGCCACTAAAGCTTCATGCCATTGAAGACTGGTCTCGAAAGCAATTAGTAAGCGAACTAGGATCTGCAGCGCGCCTCAGTGTATTTGTAAACAAGAGAGTAAAAGAGTTTCTTCAGCACGTTTCTGTATCTGGAACGGCCCGTTCTGCAACCAGAACGACCCGTTCTGCTTGTAGTCTTTATTTGTTAATTGTCCATCTAGAATGGGTTGTTCTAAACCAGAATGACCCATTCCAGATGAACAATTAACAAACAAAGACTGCAAGCAGAACGGTCGTTTTGGTTGTAGAACGGGTCGTTCCAGATGCATTAAATTTGTGCCTTCGCAATTTTACGTCGGACCTTGGTAATGTTTGATGTAAATTTACGTCAGCCATCACAACCGACGTAAATTTACGTCTCTCGCATTGACGTCAAATTTTTTTGCGATGTAAAACCCCCAAAATAACCGACATAAAATACCTCTTTTGTACTAGTGCTAGTTACAAGCTCCATTAGGTATTTTGTTTCAGTTCAAGATTACAAAAAATATTTTTCAATATCTAACGAATCAAATATCAAGTTATAGTTGATCATTCCACAACAAACATTAAGAGTAGAAATAAAATACTAACATTAAAATGAAAACACACACAAACATGCACACACACACACACACACACATATATATATATAGGAGAGATTCGTTTACTCAAAGAGTAAGTCTATCTATACTTACTCCATTTAATAACTCATGTTCTACATCAAATTTCAACGATCCAATCGTTGAATTTAAAATTTTTAATCCATAGATCAAATCTGTAAATTTGTAAAAAATTTGCAAATCATTTGATACTTTATTTCATTAATTCAAATTGATGGATAATCATAAAATTATCTTATACATTGATTTGAATTAATGAAATAAAGTATCAAATGATTTTCAAATTTTTTAAAAATTTGCAGATTTAATTTATGCATTAAGAACTTTAAAGTCAACAGTTGAATCGTTAAAATTTGATGTATAGAACATATATATATATATATATATATATATATAACAATACAAATTAAATGAGAGTTCAGTTTATTACATCTATCACAACAAGAATGAACTTAGTTTCTCATTGTCATAAAAAGTACAAAAAAGAAAATAAGATTAATGATGGAAGATGTAGAGTCAAGGAGAAGATTGAAGGTGATAAAGAAAATCTTAAAAGCCTCCATAAGAGTTCCAAAACTAGTCCTAGTCGAGAATGGTTGAAGAATGATCCAAACCTCTCAAAGAGAAAGGACAAAATTGAGTTGAAAATGCCATGTTATAAAAATAACGCTTGATGCAAGTTGACCCACACTAGGCGTAGGCATCACAATAAATAATGGATGTTTTTTTTCTTTTGTCAAGATTGCATTGTGTGGGTAGTGTTGTGCCTGACACTAGCGAGATAAGGACTCTGTACCAATGTGGCATCGGATGTGAGTAGAGTGGCGCCTAATGCTAAAAAGCCTGATGCTCTCTGACAGGATGACATTGGTGTAGTTAGGGTGGCACCTAACGCTATTTGCAATCTTCAATCTTCACTTCATGTATCTTTTCTTGCTTAACATGCTCCAAATTTACTTCTTGATGAAATGTTAGACAAAATAATGGGGATTAGTGGATTAATTAGATTATGGTAGCTAATATCCAGTTAATTACAAAAAATCATCAAAATGAAGATTGAGCTAGTTAAAAGTTAAAGAAGAGTTGATTTTGTTAATGTAAAATGACCAACAATTAAAAGTAAAAATTAATATTATCATTTGACATATCTTTTGCCTACTTCTATAGGAACATCTCAAAAGGTATTTATTCATTTAAACACATTACAAGTTTTTCTGGATAAACTTAAGAAACTCTTCCATTACAAAACCCACCTCTCACTTAGGTTAGTGACCCACTTTCTCTCATTGGGTTGTGATCCTCCTCTCTCTCAACGGGTGGTAACCCCTTCTGGATGCATGGTGACTCTTTGTCTCATAGTGAATAACCAATCTCATTACAAGATTCTCTATTTATAGAAGATGAAATAACCATTTACTTGTGTCTCTTCATCCATGACTCTTTGTTTATGATTTTTCATTCATAATTCTTCATTCATGACTCAACTTTTCACTCATGATTCTTTATTTATGATTGAAAACTTTGGACTGATTTAATTTTCAACACTTCTATTCCAAACAAGTTCTTAATAAACTTTGGACTTCTAGTAGGATTCATCAAAGATATTTTAATTTGAAGTGTGATAAGGGAATGAAAAAAGAATAGTTGGTTAAATGTTGATAGCAAATTCTTTTTATCCATGTGCTAAGAGATAAATGCAAAAAATCAAGTAGGAGTAACATGAGTTCTTGAGAGGATGCCACGAATAGGACTCAAGCAAGGTGGATCAAATGAAGAATGCTCAAGAATATTTCATATAATGTGGTAGGCTGTAATCTGATAGCAAAAGATAATTATATCAAGCAACAATAAGTTTAACATAGATAAGATATATTATTGAGTTTGATGATACAAGGGAAAAAAAAATAATTGATAGAAATTGAAACTGAGAACATAACAATTTCTTCCTGAAGATGGTTCGATTGTTAGGAAAAGTCCAACAAATGTGTGATAAAAATGAATCAAATGGAAGTTACTCAATCAGAAGAGGTAGAGGGAATTGCATGCATAAAACTTGAAGAATTAAAAACCTTTAAACATTTCTTGATTTAAAGTGAATTAATTGAAATTTTATTATTTGACAGAGTTAAATTATGATGCGAACTCTACATGGTGGTATAATTCTTAATTGTTGTTAACAAAATTTTACACAAATAGTCAATACTATTTAAATTGCAGTTAATTAGCATCTTATTGTAGTCACAATCCTGGTTGCAGCAACTATTATAACTATATATCTTAATTATTGACTACACAGGTTTAAGCTGAACTGCAAAGTAATTAGAACCTTGAAAATAACAATTTATGTGTAATCCTAGCATTGCAATTGCAATTTTCACTCAATTCCATTTTATTGAATTGGAATTGATATTATATATACTTCTACATTTCAATTGTAATTGTAATATTGTAATAAATTCTTATTGCTTTAAAGTGCCAAACACGATATCTCTCTCGTCTCTTGCATTAAGATCAGAAAATTTACCATGAGTTTTATTTAAATGTTCTCAAAGACAAAGGCCATGCCTGTACTCATGTAACAAACCAATAATATAAACATAGAGGTCGAGCCTCTAATTATTGAACACTTAATTTCACAATGCAAAGGTAGAGGTCATGCCTCTAAACACTTAGTAATTAAACTAACAATTAATTGAGTGTAACCATCTTATTTAGTTATTTAATTTCAATCCCCTTCTTATTCTTCTCAATGAGCTTATCGAGTTTTTTCAGTTCTTCAACATTATCTGGTAGGTCTTTACCTTGCATGTACTGGAACAAGGACAAGGTCGTTTCCTTCTCACAATTTTCTTGACGCAGCTTCTTTAGTCGATCACGTGCTTTGTCAATCCTCTGCATGATGAAACTCTCTTGGTTGATATTCTTGTTTTGATCTAACACAGCTTCATTCAAATACTTTTCAATCATTTGCTTCGCCCTCTCTGGATCTGGCCAAATCTCTGGCTTGGATTCGAAAGAACTCGAAATTATAGCACATGCTGGAATCCCACATAGGATGGTGAGTTCACTCACCTTCTTAATGATACCTTTCTTCCTTTTCTTGTACGTGGTTTTTCTTGCTGTGTTGTCCGAGATAAAAGCTAGTTTCACTTTCTTCCTAGTCATGGCTGCAATAGAGAAGAAAGTAAAAAAAAGAAAAAAAATTTAGAATATTTTATGCATTATTTTCCCACAGAAATAGGGTTTATAAAGAGTTATCCCACCTATCGATTGGAATTTTACAAATCTTTATTTGGAAAATTGATACAACTATTTCCAATTCCAAACAATGACTTATTTAAATATATATTTATTTTTATTATTATTTTACAATGAATGTATTGGTATATATTTGATCCGTTTGATTAAACTTAAAAATAAATATTTCAAGATAAATATTTTTTTTAAAAGTTATTATTTAAAAAGTAGATAAGAATTATTTCTTAAAAAATATAAAAAATTTACTTTTTTTAAAAAAAAAATTAAATAAATACTAAAATAATAAAAAATTATTTAAACAAATAGGTCCATTATCGAAAATAATTAGAAGCCATATAATGTGTACCATGAATTCTACACCTTAACACATTTTCGGTTTAGAGAATATGCAAAGTGTGAAATTTACAGGCATGTATAATAAACGACTTAACAAGATAGAAATTCAGACAAGGTTATAACTTCAAATTCTAGTGTGATCGTTATAATTATGATTAAAAAATCATATTCTATTATTGTAATAAATTAAATGCACATTCACTGAATTTTACCTTTTGTTTAAATAGTTATCAGATATAACTTTTTTTTTATAAGAAAACTAGCTAGCTCTTTTATATAAATGGATGCATGAATTCTATAAGTATAGAGTCATTTAATGAAAATAAAACCATAACTATTCTATTACGGTGTAAATTGTAATAACGTTGGTTGCACTAAAGATATTTTTCAACCAATAACTAAAAACACTATTTTCTTTTATGTGTAGAGATCACACCAAAGTGTATTTTGCCTCTCCCAACTTAATTCAGTATGCTTAAGGAGGTCAGTTGTCTACTAATTGTGTTGGGCTTTATTGTTGGAGTTTATTTTTTTCCCCCAACATATTACAGAATATATAAATAGTCATAATATTATTATGTACAATTTATGAAACTTTTATTTACAATATATAATAATTTATATACTATATAATATTATATTAAATTTTTATTTAATATATTATCTTATATATTTAAAATAATTTTGACATATAAATTTAAAGTATATTAATAATTAAAATGTTAAAATCATATAATTATATTTTTTAAAATCATATATATCTTTAAGAATAATTGTATTTATTTTTAATGACACAATAATTTTTTCATTTAACACAAATTATATCTTATCAGAACATTAAATTAAAATTTACTTTTTATAAAAGTGTATTTAATTTTAATAAAATAACAATTTTTTCATTTGATGATAATTTATATCTTATTCTAATATTATTTGATTCAGGCCAAAGACACGAGGAGATCATAAAACAATGTTATCATCAGTATTTGAATAAAATTAAAATTTATCTTACTCTTATCCTGTTTTATTCTTATCATCACTTTATTTCAATATTTTATCCTTTTTAACATGTCTAAATCACTAAACAAAATAATATAAAATAAACTCAATAAAGTCTACTCATAATCGCTCCTCATAAACTTAGCAATAAAAAATTTGTGATAAAATTAAAATATTATATAAAAAATTTAAAGTTAATTACAATATCAACTATTGATTCTCTAACTAATGGTTATAATTACTCTTAAATAAATAGTTTTGTATTATAAATTATTATCTATTTTTTAATATATATATATTATCTTTTTAAACTATGTTTTATTTTGAAAGTTATCATATAATCAAATAAAAATCACGGGAAACATATAAATTTCACTTCAAGATTGTATCTCTAGTTTTTGTGTTTTTAGAGTCTCATAAGGAGGGGATGCATGCAGATTTTGTATGCAACATGTGACTTTTTTTAAGAGAAAAGAAAAAGAGAAATAAAGAATATGAGACTTGATGTGTTTTATCCCATCACAACTTTTAACTTACAAATACTACTAGATTCTTGTTTATATTTATTAAAATGTTATTATATATTAAATAAATATGTTATTTTGTAATATTTTTTTATAAAAATGTCATTATAGATAGAATAACATTTTTTATTAATATTATTCTTTTAAAATATTTTCAAAATCAAAGTTTCATATCAAGTAAAAATATTTCATATAGGTTATTTTGTAATATATTTTTTTGAAAAATGTTACTATAATTGCTTATAAAATCAAAGTCTTACATTGAATAAAAAAAGTATATTTCTCTTATCTCTAATTATTACCCATAATTAAAGTCTCACATCGAATAGATTAATGACTCATAAAGAGTATATATAATCATATAGTTATACTTAAGATAAATGAAATTTGATTTTTTATATATAATTAGTAGTTACTAACTAAAAATGTCTTCTCCTAAAAAATAATTAAGAATGTTTTTAAGAGGCATAAAAATATAATAATTATTAGTAATATAAAATTTATTATCATTTTATAAAGTTAACAAAATCTTGGCAACATCATAAAAATGTTACAAAATACTACTTTGATAACATTTGAAAAATATTTTCTAATTATGTAAAAATGTAAAAGTCTTTAACAACTAGTAACATGGACTATATAGGACATTTGATAATATAACAAATTAGTAACATTTAAACATAATTAAGTAACATTTTCAAATATTGCTAAAATTATTTGTATTGTAGTGAAAAAAGTGTATATAGTATTTTAATTTAAAAGATGAATGGTTACCCCTCCAACTTTAGGATGTTTTGATGATAACATAATCTATGTATTTGAATCATTTTCAAGGTAGTATATCATTTGAAAAGACATCAATTTGAAAGCATTGTCTGATCAGGATGAAACCTATTAGATTGTGTCTAATTTGTGTTTAATGAACTAATGTCGTCTCAATTTGACCGTTCTTTGCGGTTTGTAACAACTTATGACATCTTTGGTATTAAAAAAGCAAGAAATGAGAGAAACTGTTTCACTAATTGAACTAAACTTCACCAACTCAAAGACAAAAGTTGCACCGACTCTGACTTCTCTGTAAAAATTGCCTTTGACCCACCAAACCTCCAGAAAAAGCCTTCTCATGATAATAATATAATCTTCAAAGATTTCAAGTTCCTTGATAAGAGTCACAATGGATTCACACTCTAAAAAGCGGGACTCAAGACCTTTTAGAGAGAGAAAGATCTGAAAATTCTCAATGTATATATTCATCTCCAAAAGTGATTAAAGAGTTCATTATTAGGCATGAGAAGTGTGACTAAAGGGGAGTATGTGAAGCTCATAGGGAGGTGTAGAAAGCACCAAAGTGACATCTCCCTCTTAGACTTCACACAAACCTACTTGTTACATTTTCTATTTACAAAATACACCTTCCAAAATTACTAAATAAATCCCTAAAAGAAAAGTCACAAAACTACTCTAACCTAATTGACCCCTAATAAAAAGTCAAAGAAAGAGAATAATATTTACAAAAGAGAAATGGACTATTCATCAATAATCTTAAAGTTCAAAATGAGCTTATGTATTCTATCTTCACATCTAGCCTACTCCTTTTAGTTCTTTTTAGACATAATCCTTCATGATTCTATTAACTCTCCTACCAAATAGGACAAGATGTGATAAAAAAAAAGTGCATTAAATGTTACAATTTAGTGCTCTAACAAATATATTCAAAACAAAGTTCTATAAATAAAGTGCATTTGCATAAAGATTGAAGGTGAAGAAGAAAAGAGATGTTGAAGCACCAATGGTCATCTCCCTTTTAAGACTATTATATATACTAGAGATCTCTCAAGATAGAAAAACGAACTCGTGATCCATATTTATTTTTTTATTTTAAATTTTTCACTTGCGTTTACTTTGTAAAACTTGTCTTTAAGAGGAATATAAGCCTTTGTATATTTTCTTTACTTGTTTTTTTTAAAGAAGCTTAAAAAGGCTTTGTCTATAAGCAATACAAGGGTTTAAAGTCAAAGTGACGTTAGATCAAAGGACGATCTTAGATCTCTTAGAAATATAAGTTTTAATATTAACAAACTTGAACGTTTTTGACAAAGAAATATTTTTAGGATCATATCAGAAAGACGATTAATTATAATGACGTGTAGTTTTTCAAACGAAACACTTTATTTGTCTAAGACAAAGGCATTAAATATATATTGTATTATTTTTGATAATCAAATCATCTATGCCTATGTTATTCCTTAACACATCGAATGAATAAAAGTTTCTTTGGAACTTGAATTTCAAGAGAGGAACGAAGATTTGCTTTTCGTTTTAGAAAAACAAGTAGCTATATCAAAGTGTGCAAAGTCACAAATAAAGTCATTTTTGACTGACACATGCAACAATTCATCCCGTTTTACTTTAAAGGTGATAAGTAACTTCCTTGATTAGGTAAGAAGTGACAATTTAGTAAAAAAACATTTAATACACCAACAAACTTTTTACTCTACAAGGAAGGCAGTCGAAGCTATCCCACAAGTGACTGAAAGATTTGCAATGGTCATCTTCATCAAGAACATATAAAGAAGCTTGAAGACTCATAAAAAAATAGAGAACAATGGTTATAAAAATTCATTTCATTATTTTTCTGTAAAACTCTATGCTTAATTGTTGTATCACGTCTTGTGACTAAGACAAAACTATTATTATTATCCAACTTTAACTTTTGTATTATACCTTGAAGCCTAAAAAAGTTTTGTTGTAAAAAGTACTTGATTATTAAAGCTTGGAGAAACCTTGTGGTTCAAAATACACATGAATAGTTGCTTAAGAGACAAGTCAAAGAATAATTAAGTTGAACAAAAAATAATTTGTGAAAAAATACTTGTATCTTTGCAAAGATAGTAAATTTTGATCAAGTTGATGAATAACTAAACACAGTTTCAATAGTTGAAAGAAACCGGTATAAATGATGTTATTCTATTCCACTTCTCTTTTAGTATTTTTTTTTTCTTACATAGTGCTTTAAAATTGAAAGTATAATATAGGTTGTGGTTGATGGTTGTAGGGTGAA